CTTTACCCATGGATGCACAATAACAACGGACCATATCGCCTTACTGGCATCCCACGGAGCTGTAATGATGGATATATTGCACATGTTTGCTGTAATTCATCATTTGTTAAATATTATACTACATGGGCTGTATGATGTAAACCTTGTACCGTAAATGTTGTATTAAATAAAGTTAATATTACCGACGTAGATTAACGTTCCTGTAGCTTCTTATTGCACTTGCAATATACCATTAAAAGAGTTGAACGTAGCTGTTTGCTATTATGCCGACTATATATTAAGTCGTCATATTTATACATATATCAATAAAGATATGTGTCAAAGCTCTAATCAAATTAACAGTTGTATTAATTATAATTGTATATATATATGTATATTGCCTGTGTTGTATATGTATATACACAAATGAACAACCTTGTGTTTTTTCAAAAGTTTGTATTGTAGTGTTTATTTTAGTGTTGTTTTATTCTTATCCACATTTTGATTTCAGAGCACAGGACAGGAGAATGCTGGGCACAACATCACGCTCAACAGTGAAGCTGGCAATGCTGAACAAAACCAGTTATAATATTTATTCCGCTCAAAAAGTGAAAGCTTTACGAAAATGTAATTAAAAATACATAAGCATTTCAGGTAGAAATGAGCATTTAGCATAGCATCAGGCTTCAACATATACATTTTTATATATTACCAAGTGGTTTCATGAACAACCCACACAAGTATCATGCTAAATGAAGCTCTGTTGCTTGGATATCACTAGATCCTGATGTCAGCGTAATATAAAAGTACATAACGATTGACGTGTAACTTAGCATAATTTACTAGCTAGCCGCTAGCTGCTAACTGCCGCCTCGTTAATATAAATCCAGTACCATGCTGTCATGAACGCGCGGTGCTGTTACGTGTACGCAAATTCACGTGCTTGATGTGAACGAGCCTTTTGGGCGGCGTGGTTAAAGTTGCGCATGCTCTATGAGTGCACATAGGGGTACTTCTCAGGCATGCCGGGTAATCTGTGACGTTTCGCTCTCTCAAAAGTTGGGCCATTTTGTCATCATGCGCCATTGAGCAACTCTCATAGGAATGAATGAGAACCCACCTCCCACGCTGTATCGACTTCTTATTATACATCCATGGCACGGTCCCGTGGGTTAGATGCACGTTCATAATGCAGAGGGAAATAACTCTCAGAATAACGTTATTAGCACATTTTTACAACTTGAGGAACGAATGTTTTTAATAAGGGCTATACAAGTGTTCATACTTGGTAGTTTATTTAGTTTAAAAAAAATTATCCAACGATTTACAGTCCATTCTTTCCCCATGTAAGTCAATGGGAAAAAGTGTTTCCGGGCCTGGCAACCAAACGGAAGTGTAGTACCGCCGTTTGGCCAGCACGAATATTTTCCTCTGAGTCTGGCGCACTTCCTGGGGGCTTGGAGGATACACGCGAGCAGACTACGCGGAAGTGTTTTCACTACTCGCGTATAAAAGCTCCGCCCCCACCTTCACAGAGGTCCATTTCAACACAGGAAAACCGACAACTGGAAGATGAGTGGAAAAGCGTTGCATAAATGTATAAGTGCTCACAGCTCCGTGGGAATTATTATGTGCAATTCATTTCTAAAAGGCTTTCACATTACTATAATTATATTTTTATTTAAATGTAGGCTATTTACACCAATACGGAACACAAAAGCAGGACCAACCATCATACATAGAATTCCTTGACTAACAAGAGAAAGATTCATTCATTTAAATAAATATTTAACAACAAATGGGCCGGTTCTAAAGGGTTATTCAGTTAAGCCCGATGAGAGGGGATACAGCTGTGCACATGTCATCATTAACAGACGTCGTTTAAGAGTAACGTTTGAGTGAACGAGGACATCCCAATTAATACCTGAGGACTCCTCTGTCCTCGCGTCACCTCCTCGTGTCTCTCGCTCGCATCTTACGGAGGTGGAGCTAAGATGCAAGGAAGGGACGCGAGTGAGGGAAAGGAGGAGTCGAGGAGGGGTATTGGGATGAGGCTACTGTGAACAGTCAGGAAGACTCAGATCTAACTAACCTTATTTAACCGAAAGGAAAATGGCAACAACAGGGCTTGGGAGAAAGAAACAAGCTGATATTTGGGACTAAAATAGTTAGTTTTCTTTGACTAAAATAAGACTAAAATGCTCAGACTAAATTAAATCAGGATGGAGGTGAGTAAATATGACTAAAACTAACAAGGACATTTGACACAGGCCTAAGTAAAAAAATAGCTGACACAATTAACAGAATTTGTTTCAGAAGTTTCCCCCACACTATGTAATACACATCATTTTCAAACAAATGATATAACACACCTACCTTGCAGTGAAAGCATCGATGAGCCACTCTAAATCCTGTATCTTGAATGGGAACATCACAAGATGAGTGCTGTTGTCCAGATTAGTAGCAGTCATTGGATACATCACCCGATGTGTGGTTTTGTTTCCGACATCTCTCTCATAGCCTTTGGTTGGGCCTCCGTTGATTCTAAATGGTACAGAGGATATACATTTGAACATCATATTTTAAAGAACAGGGCTAACCTCTTGTGGAAGATAGATACATTTGGGCTTACTTGGATTACTATTTATTTAGGTTATTTATTGGATTTCTGTGACACTACATCGACAAATATTGTGTCAGGATTTCTTAAATGTTCTCAATTTTAGCATTCAAATAGCATGCATTTCACTAAAGACTGAGGATGAGGATTTACTGTACCTTATGACGGTATCATGCAAATCTATTAGAGGTCCGTAGTGTGATCCGTTCAAATTACCAGAATTTCCCACAGCCGCACAAGTCCTGCAGCGATTAGGGCTGGGTTTTGGCATATCAATACTGCGAGGGAACATCTGAAACACTTTCTCCGCTGTTTTTTTGTACACATTGAAGTCACGTCTGTCCGTCTGTATTCCCTGAAACACAAAGCAAAAATAAGTTTTCTTTAAGTTTTACATTTTGATCCAGCTGGTAATTTTGCTAGCTATCCGTTTAGAAATAACTTTATCAGCTAACATTAGGAAGCCTCCAACACTAGATCCACGCAGCCTATCTAAGTTAAAGCTAGCTGGCTGGATTCAGCTTGCTTTCTAACACTATTATTTATTACTTACCCCCGTGGATCTTAGAACAGCAAACTCCCTTGACATTTTTAAAAGCAAATTAAAAACCTATTTTTAAAACATGGATTTTAATTTCGGTTAACTTTCAATTCTCACTAGTATCATTGTCCATGTTTTACTGTATTATTTTGATTTTATTTATTTTCTGTTTTGCTTTTATTTTGCTTTTATTTTAACATATTATCACTGTAGATGTTTGATCTTGTTCTGTATTAATTTTAATATTATTTTTATATTGTTGTTATGTTTTCTGTAAAGCACTTTGCGCTGCTTTGTGCATGAAAGGTGCTATACAAATAAAGTTTATAATTACGAATGATATCTTAAACCAGGGGTGTCAAACTCATGGCCCGGGGGCCAAATCCGGCCCGCGACTTCATTTAATGTGGCTCCACAAGAGGTCTGAAAGAATATAATACGTTTATTATACGGTTACATGCCGATTTACAGAAGCACGTTGCCCATAAACTACATGTCCCACAATGCATCTCAAATATGATTTTTTTTTTCAGAATTTGACTTTTTTTCTTCAGAATTTGACATTTTTTCAGAATTTGACTTTTTTTCTTAAAATAAATAATTTTGTGACATTCTCACTGAAGAGACTTCCAATGATTTCCCCTAGACTTCTGCTTTCAGACGTAGTTAATTATGAAGTTATTACCCTATCCGATAATGATCCAATGCAGAGGCAATAATGTATATAATACATACGTTTATATTAAATATTTACATATGTACTGTATATATATATATAGTCTTAAAGTTACAACCGGCCTTTTGAGTGCAACCAAAATGCTGATGTGGTCCGTGATGAAATTGAGTTTGACACCCCTGTCTTAAACCAATACAATTAGTGGATATGTTATTGACTAGCTTGCCAAAGTACTTTACAATCCTCTGTGATCCATGCTACTGAATGTGCTTATGTATTTTGATAATAGGTGTTAGCTTTAGCCAAACAGCAAACAGGTTGTATAACTGGCAGTTGCTTTTTTAATAGCCAAAAGTGATGGAAAGATAGAGCAGCCAACTACCCTAGTGTTAACTAATTTAAGGTAGGTATAACTTAGCCACAAGGCATGAATCTGGTGTTTCTTCGTAACGTCAGTAATTTCAAGCATCAGGCTGGTTGGTATTATGGAAGTAGAGACAGCAACGGTTTTTTGATTATAGGATATATGATTGTAATGTAATTTAGCATTGTTTTGACCAATGTCACATCATTTTTGGCAAGAAAGCGTTAAACAGTTTCTAAAGGGTTCCGATAAGGGTGAGGTTTATTTTTTTCAAACAGATAAAATAGCTTCAATAATAACAATTACAGACTTTCTTTAAATATTTTAAAAGTTGATATTTACCCTCCACCATTTAAAGTCCTCCTCTGAGATATTGTTTTTCGGTGTCAAAAAGGGCTCCGGTGAGGCTTTCGTCATCTCACTCAACCATGGCTCATACTCCATCATACATTTGTTACATGCACAAACACTTTGGTTCTCTGGAGGGGAAAAGGACTCATGGTACACAGATGAAATCCATGAAGATGAATGAAACACTCCAATGGCAGTGATCAACAATAGGAAAATGCAAACCAGGATTTCCCTCTTCATCTTGGCAACTTGAGGTTCTTGACTGAGGATCTGGGAATACAAAATGTGAGAAATACAACGGTGAACCTAGGTGAATTTGATAACCTTTTAGCATAACAAGTAACATACTTAACCCCAATTGTCACTGTGGAACCAACTTAAGGCTCCTTTAAAACAAAGTCAGTCAACATCTTGGCAAGATGGCCACAGTTCAGTTGGTCTGTTTGACCTGTCTCTGTCCTTTATAGGGATGCTGGATACCAGTGTTTGTGTGTGACAGTACAGGGAGTAATGTGTTGTAAAAATAAATAAATATTTTCTGTTCGAAGGGGCCCTGTTAGACTTTTGCGGTTTTCCATTTCCTGTAGTTTGTTATATAGGTTTTTTGTGCATGTAAATGGTCTGCAAAGCCTAAAATCCCTGTGTAGTCTCCAGAGGGAGTGTCACGATCTTAGTTTTATGTCACGGTTTTGGTTTGGTCTGTCTTTTCATGGTTTTATTTTGCTATTCTGTTCTCCCTGTGTCTTGTCTTCCTCCCTGTCGTTAGTTTCCCTGGTGTGTCTGATTGTCTGATTGTGTTCACCTGTTGCCCTTGTGTTTCTCCTCCCCTGCCCGGCTGTTTCTCGTCTCGTGATTACCCCTCCCTGTATTTAGTCTTGTCTCTTCCTGTGTTCGGTGTTGGTTCATTATTTTGTCGTTCATGTCTCCCTTCATGTTGGTTACAGTCACCTTTGTTTGGATGCTCTCGTACCTGTTCATAGATTCTTGTTTTTTCAGCTTTTGAAAATAAAGCTCGCCTTTTGTTTCCTTTTGAAACCTGCTTCCTCCTCAATCTGCATTTGGGTCCTATTTTTCCCCAACCGTGACAGGGAGTTTCTCCAGAACATAGTTGCATCACTGCGTAACATTGCACTCCTATTGGTTAGCGCTATAACACATTGTACGTGATAGGCTAAGGGGTGGGACATCTCTTTAAAGTAGAGACACTACATACTGATATACACCTGAACATCAGCAGGAGAGGACTCTTTAAAGTAGAGACACTACATACTGATATACACCTGAGCATCAGCAGGAGAGGACTCTTTAAAGTAGAGACACTACATACTGATATACACCTGAACATCAGCAGGAGAGGACTCGTTTAAATAGAGACACTACATACTGATATACACCTGAATATCAGCAGGAGAGGACTCTTTAAAGTAGAGACACTACATACTGATATACACCTGAACATCAGCAGGAGAGGACTCTTTAAAGTAGAGACACTACATACTGATATACACCTGAACATCAGCAGGAGAGGACTCTTTAAAGTAGAGACACTACATACTGATATACACCTGAACATCAGTCTAG